TGTTACAGCCAAACAGAGTATTATATCTGACGGAAGAGTAATACTGTGTGTTAGTTTTCCAGGAAGGTTATATTACAATGCAGTGGGTTTGGTGTCCAGGATTGCGCTTTTTGATCTGTCAGCTGTGTGCAAGTTTTGAAATCTCAAAGTGGTCTATCTTTCTACTCTTATGATATAAGAATTGCTGCCTGAAAGCCGTTCTGTGTTTTTGTCTACAAAAAACTGCTGGTGTTGAAGATAAACGGCAATCATTTCTGTTCTGTGAGTCGTGGATGTTGAGCTCTCCTCACTTTCACTCCCTCCGCAGTCCTCTGAGGACATTACCTGATGGAGATTAAAATGTCTTTAATCTGCCCCCCTGACTGGTACGAAGTCTGAGTAATGCCCATATGGGGCCATGTAAGAATAGGGCAGATAACTTTCCAGTTAATTACCAGTGAGCGAGGGGTTGTCACGCGTCCTTGATAATGCACCTTCACCTAAACCACCCAGCTAGGGCAAACTATCAGCAGCCGTGTGCTACATGTGTCAAAGGGCAACTGCATGAAATTCAACAACTTGGTTCTCCCAGAATAGTTTATATTTTTGTATGACATAAATTTAAGTCAGAGACAGTTTATTGCAGGCTTTGTGAAAGCTTTTTCATATAGTAGATGCAGATAATTATCTATTTTAAACTGAGATGTTCTGTAGCACTGTCACCTAAATCTAAGAGGTTTTCAGATTTCACTGTCCTGATTGCTACGGGACTTTATGTACAAAGTTTGCAAGCTGTCTCTGTAATTGCATGGGCTTCCTCCATGTCCTGCACCAGCTCATAGACATGCACGTTAAGTCAGTCAGTGATTCTAACTTGGTTGTCAATTTAAGGCAAAAGAAGTCTATAGACCAAAGCACTTTAGGAATGTATGGTTAAATAGGACTTGTCGTTTCAGGCTGGAAAAGCACGATCTATATGTCAGTCCATTTCTATTACATTAGGTATCAAATGGGATCACTATGGAAAATGATAAGAAATAATAGTTCATTAAACAATAGTCGGTTTATTCAGTGGTACATTTCTATAAGATAAGGCCTAAATATCCTTTGCAGTGTCTGCATGTACAAAACTCTGTAAGGCTAAAATATCCCCGATGACGTGTCTAACAACCTCGGGATTACTTTCACAGACTGGACAAGGTTAAATTCAGAGAAATGGAGGATACTGTACAAGTGCTAAGTGATATTTCTTGTGGCAAATTAATTGATCCTCATGAGTACAGTTTGCTGGTGTATGCCTTTAAGCTGTACAAACCGTTTCAGTGCGGATGTAAATGCTGTGGTTTGTCTGCTGTGAGGCCCTCTGTGACAAACAGGAAATCTTTTAGAAAACGTGCACAACTGAAACTCGTTTTAATAGAGCAATTATTTTGTAGCATGCAACTCCTATTAAATAAAGACACATTTCGCCATTAAGACAACATAAAATATGTTTGTGTGGAAAACTGTGTCGACTTCTAAAGAGCAAGAACAAAACAGCAAGATGCCATCTTGAGTGCAAATGAACGTCAGCTTCCCATAAAGTGCCCTCATTTGAAAATAACTAACAAGAGATTGGAGTAATCTCTTTGATGGGATCTATCCATTCATGCAGGGAAAAGGCTTGAACTCCTCTCCATTCATTAAACAGAGCTCTGAAATCAGTTAATCCCAAAGTGCTGCTTTTTCATATTACGAGGCAAAACATCCTCTGTCTAGTGGGGGTTTTTTTTTCTTCTTTTGTCCTCTTCAAAGTGATCTTAAGACAGAATATTTTTGCAGATTAATAAAGCTGTTTTCATTTGAAGTAAGATTCAAGGGCAGTAAAATAAATGTAGTGTGCTTTATCGGTATAGGTGCTCGCTGAGGCTCCTTGATGCATCGTTGTAGTCCACTGCACTTTGCCATCAATTGCTTGCATCTCACAGTTTGATATGTTGTTCCATTATGATGACTCTGCTGAGTCTCTCTCATGTAGAAGCAGTCTTTATTCAACGGCTGTGGCAGCCAAATCATGATCTGAGTCACAGCCTTTGTTTCTGTTCATTTATGAATGAGGTTTGGCGATTAATATGTTCTGCCACTAGCAAGCGTTATTGGTGCTTTTCTTGTGGAACTTTACAACATTATAATCAAGATCTGATGAAGAAATGGTTTTAGCAGAATTGGCTCTTATGTACGTGAAGACCACAAATAATTCTTAGTAAAGTAGATGCCCGCTAGTGGTCAGTTAATGTATAGCTCAGCGATTAATTATATTAATCAATTAGCTGTGGGTTAGTGCAGAGATTAAAAATGAAAGTTCTTGGTTCTCCTTGGAAAAGGAGAAGTGACTTTAAAAACAGTTTCAGTATGCTTGACAGCAGAGAGCTTTCAGGCACTTTCCTGGTATTGATACTTGTTCTCCTTTTTCCCTACGTGTATCACACATTTGTCTGTTTTTGTAGGATTTCAGTACCCTGGCTTGTTTGCCCCACCTAGTTGGTGGCTGTCCATTATTAGAAAGCAGACTTATAACGTAGTAGGTGGTCTGGGGCTGGCATGGTCAGGGTGACCAGAAGGCAGTTTGGCAAATGCTCTGGATATCGTCATTAAAGCGATCTTTCATTCTGTCATTCAAGAAGCTACTGTTGCATTCACGTTTGATGTCATTGTGCATAGTTAGCCAAACAACAATTTGTAAACCTGTACAAATATTCTGAAACACAGGCTAAAGAAATACCAATCCAAAAAACCTTATTGTATCATGTCCAACAGACAGCAGTTATGTGTTGGGTTTCCTGAGGACAGCTGTGCTGCTCGAAATGATCACACTGTGCAGTATTGCCAGGAGGTTTACATCACAGCATGGGTTAAACTCCTGAATTGTTGTGGTGGATGGATTTTTCCCCCATCGAATTGAAAAAGAAATAGCATTTTAATTTCAGTTGAGTGATTTCTCAAGAGAAATGCATTGTTTAGTGATCACTTATTGCCTGATGATTGATTTGTTGAATTTTAGCCAAGCCACATGGGTAGTTCGTCCACTAAACATTTGGCCATCAGAGTCTGAAAGTCAGAGGTCTGATGGATACCACAGAGACTGCTGAAGGTGCAATAACCTTACTCGTGGTCCAAAATTGTGGCTCTTTGTCTCGCTCAGAGAAGAAGCGGTCATTGATTTCAGACGTACTCAGTATTATGCAAGTGTGTAGAAGGTTGAAATTATATGTTATGTTAGTAGACATTCAGTTCAGGTTTATGTATATCGCACAAGCTCACACAAGCTTCTCAGGGTGCTTTGTATTATAAATTGAAGACCCCATCTTTGAGACAGAACTAGTGATGGTCAAATGCTCCCCAATGAGCAAGAACTTGGAGACGGTGGGGTGGAAGAACTCAGTTTTAACAGGAAGAAACCTGCAGCAGGCTCAGGAAGGGGCAGCCGTCTGCTACACCGGTTAGTTGGTTGCTAAGTGGAGGAACGTAGAAAAAAAGATGACACAGAGACACCATGAACAGGAAACAGCACAAACTATGGGACAATGTAGACAGATGGTAATGACATGCATTAGTGACGCATGAATGCGCAGGGAGTCGACAAAATTGAGTGGAGGATGGGACGTCCCCCAGCAGCCTGAGCCTATAGCAGCATAACTAAAGTTATGGTGGTTAAGGGCCAACCCTAACTGTAAGGTTTAACCAAAAGGAAAGTTGTCAAGGTAGTCTGATAGCACTGCAGCCATTCCTGTTTGAAAACTCTTATTTAACTTCCTACCTTCTCGTCATGCATGTAGTTTACCTACTTTTTGTGTTATATCTATTAAAATAACTGGGTATCGGTGAACATGTGTGCACTGTTTTTCTAATCTTGGCTAAGGGAAGCATACATGACTTGTAAAGTAGAAAAGTCTGTGGTTTTCAGGCTTGTGCTGACTACTGGTGTCCACTTGAGAGTGGACACCCACAATCTTGTGAGTCTTTGACTTTCAGCCTCTGTGGGTAAATCTCTGTTTTCTGTGCCTGTAAACAACCAGCATGGTATCAATATAAAAACAAAACGCTCACAAAAAAATGTTTTTGTCTTACCCATACCCAGGAAGAGAGAAACTCTGAGCAGGGAGCAGTATCAGAAAGTTCATTGTCATAACTGCTTCATTTATATTTATAGCGTTAAAAGGCGTGATGCTGCAGAAAGCACTTTATGGACAAGCTGTTGTTTTAGCGTGCCTCATATAAAGATAAATCCAGGATGGCTGTAACAGATTCAGTTTCAGGTACACGTCTGTGGTTTGTAGTGTCTTTGACTGCAGACCTCACGCAGGCATCGCCACACGCTGTCACAGTACAGGAAATGATGTCTCCTCCTACCATAGGAGTGAGTCTTGCTGTTGATGCAAGCACATACTAGTACAGTTGGTAGGGTTGAACTGTTTTTTTTATTTTGCCTGTTGCAGCAGTGCTTTGGCACACAGCCTTCGCCTTCAATTGATCCGCCTTAAAGTGAGGTAAGCTGTTATTTATATTTGGTCGCTTCTTCCACCGAGGTCTGTTTCTTTTGTCTTCCTTATTAGTTTATCTTTACTGCAAAACACAGCTGCATTGTTTGACTGTGGCTCCAACTTCCACATCATTATTTTTTGAAAAAGTCAACAGCTTTTGTGCAATGGGTTGCTAGCGTGAGGTAGTTGCTGGAAAGTTTCTTGTTCTTCTATAATGTCTCATTTACACAGTAACTTGTAAAAGGGGGTTGGTGCTATGAATTTTGAGTCTGGTATCCTGTTTCACACAGGAAGTCAGCCTCTCAGATGAGTATCGTGTATGATTTGCACTCCTAACTTGGTGTTCACTGCAGTTAATAAGGTTTCACTTGAATTTATGTTGCTTGTTCAAATGTACTAAATTTAAACGTTAACTTCATAAACTAATGTGCTCAAACATCAAGCTTTGGGGATAAACACCAACAAAATACACTAATTTGTCCCCCTCTTTGTGTCCCTTAGGGTCAGAGGTCAATCTGAGCCATAGCAACATGTCTGAAGCCACCAAGCCCCAACCTCAAGCTAAGGGGGAGAAGACCCCGATCAGCGACACCAGCTATGTGGGCATCGATGCCATCCTGGAGCAAATGAGGAGGAAGGCCATGAAACAAGGCTTTGAGTTCAATGTCATGGTTGTGGGTGAGTAAGACACACAACATTACCCAGTGAAAACCTGTGCTGTTGACTCCAACCTTGTCCTGTCAAATTAAATGGAGGAGCGGGGGATGCTAAAGATGCTAAATTATGGCATATAAAAAAGATAATTACAGTGAGTAAAGGTGGTCGCTTTCGTACAAATCTGTGGAATGATGTAAAGGCCTAATTCTAAATGTTTTCCTCCCATCTAGTCTGACCTCACACTTTAATGTTTATTATGCCTTCATGTTGGATTTGAATATAACTATGTAACCAGTTTAAACTAGCACAGATGTGTCCAAGAAGGCTTGAAGCTGTAATTGCTCCCAAATGTGGTGTGTTTGCAACAGATATTGTCCCAGTCCTGATTTCAGCAAAGCAAAAAAAGGGGGGGAATCACATGGGAGTCATTTAAAACTTTTCAGTTTGTGCAGCAACAACTCAAAATGCAGAACAAAGCAACGAAAGAAGAGTTGTGGTTCAAGTAACACATGAGTCAGCATTTAACTGAGACGCAACACACATCAGGAGCACACATATCGCCAGTTAAAAGAGGACATGCTTGGTTTGCTTGCTGTCGATTCAGAAAATCGCTTTTTATATCTATTACGAGGCTGCCGTAAAGAGCAAAGGCAGGACGAACCGTGCGTGTTTGATAGTGTGGTTCTACTTCCCTTGTTTTGGTAACAGTCAGCTAACGTGGCGACTTCCTCAACAAGCTCTCTTTTTGAGTGTCCACAGTTTATCAGACAAACACTCTCACTTGAGAGGATAAACTTAGGCTGTCAGGCTGAGTAATTGCTATAATGATGGCGATTACTCTGACAAGCTGAAGCATACACTCCGTGTGAGACTTCACGTCCTCAGAAAGCAGCTACGCACCTCCAGTTAAGCCTCACCATCAAAGTGTCAGTACATCTATCCAATCCTGCACCTGTGTGCATGCATACAAGAGACACAGACCTATGCTAATGTTGCTTATAAACAAAGGAATGTTGTCAAGCTACATAACAATCAGAAATTTTATCTGTTTTGTTTGTTGGTACTGGCCTGTTGGAAGTAACTGTAAAACTCTGATTTGAGGCTCTTCGGGGCTATGTTTAGCACACGCTGTAAGGTGGCATGTCAGTGCAGCTTCATGGAAATGGATCATAGCATGGCAAATGAGGGCTGCTGCATAGTTACTGTTTATTGCATTGAGTGTGAAGTGAGAGTGTCAGATTTATATTGAGAGCATGATGGTGGAACATGACTCACCGAACGTTTATTTTCTGAGTAAACACAAAAAGCTCCCGAGTGAAACAGCAGCGTGTTTCAATCTCTGTGAGATTTGCATCCCTGCTTACACATTTGTGTTGTTGCAGGAAAACTGCAGATTTCTACCCAACATTGACATGTTTGCTTGCAGTGCCCCAAATGCATCAAGGATAAATGAAAATTAACTGATAAAGTCTATCGCTGTTAAATAACGCTCACTAGGAAAAGAAAAGGCAAGTTTCAACCGGCACGAGGCATCTTGATTGCCAAAGGGAGCTTTAAAGTACATCACTATAGCAACGTGTCAAGTTCCTCGGGCAATGTGTTAGCAAACACCTAGCACATGATTGGCATCTACTTCTTACTTTCCGTTCAGTGCTGGCCTGCCGTTGGGTTCTGACTGTTTTGACAGCAGGGTGTGCATCATTTTGGTGATAATTGTGAGACTGTCTTCAGCTCTTGCTCAAGGCCATGAAACACAGTAGGAATCTGGCTACCGTGTGTAGTCAGATTACTACTGTTTTGTTGTTGTTGTTTTTTTTCTGTAGTTAGATTTGTTAGATTTCTTTTAGTTAACGTTAAGAGATAATGTATTCCCATTCTAATAAAGTTCCTGCTGGCTAACAGATTTGCTATTTGAGTGGTTAGTTGAAATGTAAAAGGTTAACTGGTGTTGGTCTTGTCCCTTGTGGTCTTGTGGTATTCAGAGAATGCATTTGACCCTAATTTCTCCCCTCAGCTACCTAGTCCTGGCCAATGTGTCTAAGTGTGTATGTCAGTAGAAGAAGGAAAGAAAATGTGACCATGTGCTTGTGGCTGAATGCATACAGCAGGGCAGACTGCATGTGAAGTGTGTGCTAAAGAGGCAGTGTGTTTATGTAAGGTGAGAGAGAGGCGGTAAAGGCCACCAAGAGGTCACAAAGGGACTGGCAGCTTGGCGACTCTCCATATGCCCTATCAGATACCCACAGAGTCTACATTTAGGATAGGAAATGTGGGACATGGCACACAGAGTGGGTCTGTGTGCAGTGACCTGTTTATCCGGTTACTCCTAATGTTTCAAAATGATGCTAGTATCAAATCAAGATTTTCGCTTCCACCTTGTATTATTTTCGTCCAGTCAAAGGAAACCAACTCGTTGTTGTTTCAGCACAAGCATGCATTTGTTTAGTCGATGTTTCCATTGGCTAAACAAGCAATGAATAGCATCACAGTGTCGCTGTAAGTCACCTTTAACTTCATAGACTCGCCATGTTGGCATCCTCTGTCCACAAGTTCGACATATTTACTATCTGACAATCGTGCGTGTCATGGTTTTAAATAATGATGTCGTCAGGCATACAGCTAATGCTTAAGCCAGTCAGAGTAAAGTTGAGCTACAGGAAAGGGAGCTACAGCAACTGTGAATTATGCAAATCTACCTCAGTCTTTAGAGTAAAAATGTGGAAGTGGAAATGAGCAGATTGACTAAATTTTAAATTCATTTGGAAGTCAAAAAAAGAAACGTAGCCCAACGACTCTGGATACCATACTATGCAGGTGCACATTTTTTGAGGCTATTAGATGTCGGAGTATAACTCTTGTACTGATTAATAAATACTAAATGTAATGTATTGACAAGTATGATAAGTATACACTGTGGAAGGGGAAATTGCATTTTTATTCATGGTATCAACAGCAGTGGACCTTTTTTAATTAAGTAAGAGAAATGACACTATAATATTGTATAATAAGTATATATGCACTTTCTACTTAGTTTCCACCCACCCTATCTCACTAAGACCATATTCAGTAGAATTATATAATACTGGAGACACAACGTAAGAGGATTCAGCCCCTAGTGGGTGATGTATCTTGTGTATGTCTGCATCTCTGTGTGTGGTCTGTACAATACTGTGGCGTCCAAAGGTGGCTCTTCTGGGGGCTATAACGAGGCTCCCAATGCAACTACACACCTACCACACAACCCATGCAGAAGAGCGTAAGGTCCTGTTATAAGATGTAGTTTTCCCCACTCTGAGGTTTTAAAAAAGAGAAGCTGAATTGTGCTTTTGTCTTCAGAGGGATTTCCCTTGTGACTGCCTAAGATGGTTGTTTTCTTACTTTTACTAAATGTTGCATGTTCGTCTGTTCATTTTTTGGATCAGGGCAAAGCGGCCTGGGAAAGTCCACTCTGATGAACACGCTGTTCAAATCCAAGGTGAGCCGTAAGTCTGTGCAGCCCAACGTGGAGGAGAGGATCCCCAAGACAGTCGAGATCAAGTCCGTCAGTCACGGTATGCCGTGTTTTGTAGCCTACCACCTGATGCAGCACATATTGCATTAATAATATGAAATATGGGCTTTCTGTCTAATCTGTCATTATAAATATATAAACGGTGCATCGTTCTGGCAAAAGTGAAGTGTCCTAAATTACACGAATCACTTTTTCTTTCTGTAGATGTTGAAGAGAAAGGCGTTAGGATGAAGCTAACAGTTATTGACACTCCTGGCTTTGGGGATCAAATCAACAATGAAAACTGGTGAGCCCAGACTTGATCTACCTGCCTACAATCACTTCCTGTACTTATTCAATTTGTCTCAAAGCTGAAACTCAATTTCTTTCTGTTTTTTTTTGTTTTTTGTTTTTTTTAACACTTTTTCCATTTTATTTTGTTTAATCAAGACGGTGGATTTCATGTTATTATTTTATAATTTAAGTGTTGAGGAAATGTGATTCAGTTTTTGTGTAAGTAAAATATGCATGATTTAATTAGAAGTTATAATGTCTTAAAAGTGTCTTTAGCATTACAGGAACATTTGCCTCCCTGGAGGCAATGCTGCATGTTATAATATCGCTATATCACCGAAAAGGAAAAAAAAAATCCGTAGTTTTGTCTTTACAAATTTCTTTGGAGCTTAAAAGTTAATGTTGCAGAACAAAAGGAGTCACTGTAGCAGAGTAACTGTTTACAAAGAGGTTTTGAGGTAATAGTTTCTTTCCTTAATTTTCTTTGTTACAGCTGGCAACCCATCATGAAGTTCATCAATGACCAGTATGAATCCTACCTGCAAGAGGAAATCAACATTAACAGGAAGAAAAGGATCCCAGACTCCAGGGTGCACTGCTGCATATACTTCATACCTCCCACTGGCCACTGGTAAGAGCCTGTATTAAAATGATACAAGCTCCTACTCCTTTTTTCTCACCACAACTACAGAGGGTCTTCAGGGGACCTCCCCCGACCTATTGTCTCTTTCTAGCTCTTTAACCACATCGCTTTCCTGGTCTTTTTCATCTCACTCTCTAATGACCACATGTGGAACTCGTTCTCTCCTCAAAGACACGTAAGAGTCACTCGAAGGGTCACATTTCACAAAGAAACTGAACTCTGCAGCTTCCGCTGTATTCCTTTCATTCTGAGCCGTGTCTCTCTTAAATATCTCTCGGCTTTATCATCTGTGACTGAATAGAGAGATGTGATATCGAGCAGTTGACGGAAACTTGATGATGAAATCCAGTGCGACAGTGGTCGGAGACGAGCGTGTTTCACTGAGCCGCCAAATGTGCAAAAGACGTGGTTGGAGGCTAAAGCAGAAACAAAATGGTGTGAATGATTCTAACATACCAAAGTGTGGACCAAAAGAGTGCAGGTGTCTCATTTAGCAACTAATGCTAGTGTCCTTGTGTTACCTCAGGAGCAAGAAAGATACTGTCTCTTGAGTGTGTGTGATTGATAAAGCCACCTTGGCTTTAAAATATTGTACATATGTGAATTAAAACACTCAAAGCTTTAATGCGCACCAACTGTAAACACCCATTAACTGGCTTTCTTACCGCAGATCCAACCCAGTCGCATATTTCTGTGCACCAATAACTCAACAGTTGTCCACTTAAATGTTTTTCAAGGATCGAGGGATGACATGTGCGAGCCCCACAGTTTGACAGACCCCCTCATCATCTGCTCATGTCACCACAGCTGTTGCTTCAGCGAGTGTGTGTTCGTGTGTACCCTTGTTCATGTAAAGCAGGGCGCAGGGAGTGGACTCAAGTGGGCAGTGGGCATGCTGAAACTTGCACGGGTGTGCATATGTGGATACCCTGAATGTGTTTGTGGATAATTGTGCTTACAGCTGCAGAGTTCAGTCCACCCTCTTCTATTGTGACTGTGCATTGCTTCTCTTAGTGCCTAAATCCTCCAGCGTCATCTTTGTAATCATAGTATTGCTGCAGGTCAGATACTGCTCATAAGCAGAGGTGCCCGCTTTGCACAAATTCACACCTTTTTTCTTAATCAAAAGTTATAAACATCTGTCAGGAAGTGATCTTCCTTACAGCTATCCAGAGAGTTGTATGCAAGAATAAAGGAGACATCTGCTGGGGCTACCGTTGGGATATGGCACGTGGTAGAGAGTTCCTGTTTGGTAGTTTCATACGTACATATAAGGATACTTACAAACCTACGGCAGATCTTTGCAGTTGTTTTTTGTTTTTTTCAACTTAGTTGAAGTGATTCACAAATAAAATAAGAACATAAGTCCCTGAAAGAATCACAAAACTCTTACCCTATTATGCTCTGCTTGCTTATTTTCTCATTTTAAATTCTCACAGTAATGTTAGCTGAAGGTTTTTTTAAATGAGGCCTGTTACCAATTACCCAGACACAATGCCAAAGGCTTCTGGATGCCTGCGCCATGTGACCAAGAATGACAGGAAGCAAAATGACGACAGATTGAGCTTTCATAAGCCTCTATCGTTGGAGATGTGCATTTCGGTTGCTACTGTGGTTTCGGATCGAAGAGCAGCGCTCAGTGAAGCAAGACACAGCCTTGGCATCAAAGAAGCCATTTCCGATAATGGCAGCATCAGGCACATTATTTTCAGGTTGTCACGAGAAAACAAAGACTCCACTTTGGCTCTCGTCAACTCCGAGCTGGTTTTCTGACCCGTTGCTGAAATGGTGGGAGGGGAGTGCTGCTCGCAGTGTGGTTGGTTGTTTTCTCCTCATTTCATTTGACCACCGAGCTAACCATTCTCAGTTCATTTAAACGTCACTGCTATGTTCTTCGACCAGCTAGACAGAAGGATTTATTCATGCATGCACAGACATACAGTTGTACGTCTGTGCATGCATCCATGTTTAATTTATAAAGACTGTCCATGCTGCATATGTTGCGGTAAGAGTGCATGTGTACATCTGAAAGTGTGCACGTATGCTCTGTCATGCATGTGATGCTGCACACATGTACATATAGCCCCAGTTTATTTATGCACTGACACACATGGATCGTGAGCCACAGTTTTTCTTTTTTTGGAGGGGGGGATATCCTTCCTGTCTGCGTATTTATTTCACGTGACATTTTGCCCCCTGAGCATTTGATGCCTCGCTTATTCTGCATCGCTCCTCTCTCTTTACCTCTGCTGCTCTGTTTCTCTTGTCCTGTCTCTGTGCTCTGTGTAGCACAAGCTCATCCCATTTTGATGGTGACATGTCTGTCAGTTGCTCTGGAGAACTTGCCTGGCATCCTTCCTCCCTCCAGCTGCCTCTGGGTCTTTGAACCAGGCTGGCTGAGGTTAATTGGAGGGCAGAGCAGACAGCATGAAAGGAAACTGTGTGCAGGAGCAACTGGAGGCAACATGGAACAACAGTGTGCACACTGACGGTCCTAATCATTGCTACGCTAGGCACGATTACAGGCTGCTAAAGGAGAAACGTAAACAACTTTAATCAAACACACTGTTAAGATGTGAAAGATTCACAAAGCCAGTGAGGAGGAATGCTTTTATCTAAACTGGCTTTGAGTTAGGCGAAAGCAGGATATTAAGGACAAATGGGGAAAATGGTGAACCTGTCAAAATGAGAAAGCCCCTCTGTGTGTTACAGTGACATGGTTTCAGGGAGAACAGAAAGACTGCAGTGGACCATGACTGCTCTCTAGTGGTTGTTCTCTTTCCTTACAGTCATGTCAGTTCTTAAATATAACTTCCAGTTGTCCGTTTGGAGCAGTGAAGTACATGTAATTAACCACGTTTGCTATTTTTGGTGCAGTCAACTACTGAAAAGAAACAGTTTGAGTCCCCCCCTGGAATTATTGATTATTTCATATTATTAACAAACATGTGGAATATTTTATTTAGGTACCTGCCTAACTGATTAATCCTGTATGTGGCGATTCCTGTATACAATATCTAAAACCTAAACTGACGTTCCTGCACTTTTAATTAAATTATTATTACTATTCACTCAAAAATGAAACAAGGTTTACATCTTGGTGTCTTTTTATCTGTAGTATAAATTGCTTTGTCCTTCCATAGTGTAAGACCTCTTAATTTAGTACCTCCTTGCGCATTTATGTGTAAAATATGAATTATTTTACTTAAAGTAAAGTTGAATTTTGTTGTCTTTTTCATCTTCCAGTCTTAGGCCTCTGGATGTGGAGTTTATGAGGCATCTCAGTAAGGTGGTCAACATCGTTCCTGTCATTGCCAAGGCCGACACGCTCACCCTGGAGGAGAGGGACTCCTTTAAAAAGACGGTGAGAGAAGTGTGTTTGCATGCATTGCTGGGTCTTGGTAACTGCATCGTGTTAGCTGTGTGCGAGACCTGGCCTGCAGGAGCGCTTCAGAGTGTGCTTAAGATAAATAAATGCACTGCGTTGGTAGATCGGACGACAGAGTGTGTTCATGAACACAGGTGTGTTCAGTAACCAGTAATAATCATTAATCACTGGTGTATAGAAGCTGCCAGGCTTAACCACAAACTGAAGCCATCTGTGCAAACTCACACTCCATCCATCCTGGGAAATACTCTATTATCTCTGTGAACTGTGAACATTTTAAGCTCTTATTAATTACAGATATTTAAGAACTGTTTATCTAAGCAACAATCCAAGAGATTTAAGCCCACTTTCCAGCTAAGCAGACAGGCTCTTCGTTTGGCTACCACTGAATTATGGGGTGAGCATACAATACAGCCAAGCTCAAAGAGGTCTCCACTGTGCAATAAAACATGACTAGAATTAAATGAGTTCAAAATTAGCATTTTAGTAAACCCTGAATATTCATCAGTTTCTCTAAATAATCTGAGATAATTTGCCCGTTTTTGATACGTGAGTTTATTTTTTCATTGTTAAGTCCCATACTGTTTTTTTTTTAACGCCACAGAGCTTTTATACATGCAGTTACGGTTCCCAAACTAAACAACATAATGAATTTTATGATCTCCTGGCTTTTCCTCTATTTCAGCAACGTGATGGGCATTTTTTATTTTTGGCAAATGGCAAGAAATCTTTATTGTCACTGACGTTTTAAAAGCACGTTTTAGCAAATGCATCCAGGCTAACCACTGTAAATCTGTGCAGGCTTTTATCCACAGAGTTTAATTTGGGGGTATATTTGGCTTTACAGTCAACACTTTGACTTGTAAACCTGACAATCTGTAGCCTCACACCGCTCACCTTCTTATCATGGCTTTCCCTGCTAAACAGATTCCTGCTTCACCTGGGTTGAGTCCCTACGTGATGCTGAATCTCTTCCTCGCTGCGTTTCTCTGCTGGATTATTTTCACTCCACAGGAGGCAGACAGCCACCTGCCTTCCTCCATCTTTTTCTCTGTGTCACATCCCTTGTTTTAAGAATGCAGACTTCCCAAAAGCTTTATTCATTTTAGAGAGGTGGAAGCACAATGGGTGTCTTGGCTACCAGTCTCCCCTCTATCCCAGTAACACAGTCCAATAAGTACAAAGCAGAGTCTGCTTTCTGGTTTCTGTGCCAGGCCCTGGCAGAGAGTTGAAGCCTCGGGGCTTGTAGCTGGATTGTTTTGGTTGGCTGCACATGCTCTGTTTGACCCTGAAGATTATTGACTAAAAGCTTCTCGTGCCAGTTTTTTTTCCCTCCCATTATCCCCGCAGCAACTTAACATGCAACCAGAACAAGCTGAAATTTTTTTGTTTTGTTCTTTATTAAATGATGGGTCTCAGTGTGTTCAACTATGAATGTGTGTTCACATAACCACCGCTGATGTGGCTTTTTTGTAGGATTTCACTTGGTTCGCATCCTTTAATGTAACCCTGAGAAAGCTTCTAAGGATGCACAATAAAAATGTTTGATCAAGGACCAAGTGGAAATTGTCAGAGTAGTAATTGTGGGAGTGAACAGTCATTCATTAAAAGGACATTTCTCTCAGAAACTTTCCTGCGCCCGTGCCCGAGTTTTAGTCGTTTTAAAAGCATGCTGAAAGTGAGGGGTGGAGATTTTATGAGCTGTACCTCTGTCTGGATGTCAGACTTCTCAAGAGTTGTTAAGCAGCGTGTCCCCGCCCCTTTCTGTCACGGGTATCAACAGCTAGCTTATATTCTGTTATACTGGTTTGACAAAATGCTCCAGGACACAGTCAAGTGAGTTTGTGCACAACTGCCACAGTCTCACTCTCCGTTTGTACATTTTTATATCTGCGTAGACTGAAGCATCTTCATTTATATATTATGTGCCGGTGTGACTTTTTTGCATTTTTTGTCATCTTAACTTTATTGTTTTTGTGTGTCATTCTTTACTTGTGTATAGATTAGGGAAGAGCTGCGAGCCAATGGGATCGATGTTTATCCTCAGAAAGAGTTTGATGAGGATGCAGAGGACAGGATGATCAATGACAAAATCAGGGTAAGTTGATACTGCTTTGTTCATTCACTTCGAATTTTAACAGCAAACCTAAAGAATAGCATCCTGTGGCTACAGCATGGATGTAATGTAAGCCTTTGTTAGATGCAACTTTTTTGATCTCTGGTATGTGTTTCTTTGGAAAATCCATGATAACTGGGGAAATTGCAACAAGTCAAACATGACCTGAAAATGAATCTGTGCAAACACTTCAGCGTTTTCTCTTCATGTTTGCATGTGTGCACTCAACAGGAGATGACCCCTTTTGCTGTGGTGGGCAGCGACCAGGAGTACCAGGTGAACGGAAAGAGGATTCTGGGAAGGAAAACAAAGTGGGGCACCATAGAGGGTAATACACATGAACTGTAATACACACTTGCAAATAAAACACCACAGCTGGTTAGTTTTCCTGCCAGATAATAGAAAATGAATAACAAGGTAGAACAATGTGATCATTTATTTACTGTCTCGATGTAGATCGGCCATGTCGACATGTAGCTGTCACTGCCAGTGCCACTAATTGCTCCAGCAAAGCAGTTAAAAAAATACTTGGCTTGGCCTAATAATGTTATAATGTCCATCTGGTCAAACGTTAAAACGGCCCATTTCCTGTACTCATGACTGGGTCGCACCTGTCCAGACGACAGTGCCAAAGCCATCTGACTTCACCCAATAAATAATACAGCAGCATGCATGCTACAGTTACTGACTACAGTTGAGTTGTCTCACCTTGCTCATGCTGGTATTTGTGGTGGCAAAATGACCAGCAAAACCAGCAGACTGATTTTGGTGAACTCTCAGCATGTGGAAAGTTAGAGACTGCTGCTTGAAAACGTGGCCAGCTAGTTTAACCATCTGCTGTTTGAATACTTGTTTATATAAGTTTCTCTGAGTCTGTAACTTGGGAGACGTAGGAGACAGGAGGAAAAGATTTGCAGACACTTTCTATGTCCTTTGAGATTACAGGAAGAAACATAAAACACACGCACACTGTCTCACAGACACACTTGCATGCAATAACTTCTGTGATGTGGTTTACATTTGTTGGCCTGTGCTGCACGCTCACAGTGCCAAAGAGGTTCTTAGCAAGTAACTGTACTTGCATTACTCACAATTGTGCAAGTATGTGTGTGTGTAGAGATGGAGAAAGAGCGAGGACATCTCTCTGGACACGTAGCAAAAAGACAAAAAGCCAACTGAAGGATAGCTCAGCAGGGACCTATCACTGTTTAATAGTGTCTCCTGCTAAGGACACCCTTCAGCACAGTCCTTGCAGAGCATCTAGTTCATTTGCTGTCCTATAAATGCATTGTAATGTATAAATCATTCACCAAAAAACCCCCTCAAGCTATTTAATATCATGTAAATGATAAATGTAAATGACTCAGACTATGTTTGTTTTGTGATTCAGTGTAGCTGGGGAAACGCCCAGTGTTCACTATGAAATATGACCTTGAAATACTGTGTCTGAAACACAACAAATGTTCAGATAAACAAGAGCATTTCAATCACACAAGTATCTAAACAGTATGGTAGCATGCAAGACTTGGCGTGACGCTTCGAGCAGAAAACACTGGGATAAAAATAAAAAATGATTTCGAAGATAAGGATTCAAATGCAAATAAACAAAATGCAGTGATTTGTAAACCTGTATTTTATTCAATAGCACATAGAAAACATATCAAATGTTTACACTGAGAGACTCATGCTCATTTTGAATGTGATGGTAGCAACTGAAGAAAAAAGTATGGACGGAGCAACAAAAGGCTGGAAGAGTAAGTTGTACTAAGAGGAAACAGCTGGAGGAACATTTTAGATTAACTGAGATCAACTGGCATCGGGTCAGTAACATGACTGGGTATAAAAAATGGATGGATGGGTTCAACCTGCAAAAAGCTGTCTATACATTGTAGAATCATTTCAGAACGGTGGATATAAATTATTAATGAATAATAATTGCAATGACTTTGAATATTTAAAATCACTTAAAATGGACTGAGGCAAAGTGGGAAACCGTTCGGTGGTCAGACGGATCAAAAGTTGAAATTATTTTTTGAAAACACCATGTGCTCCAGACGAAAACAGAGGGCCCATCTGGCTTGTTCATCAGCTCTCAGTTCAAAAGCCTGCATCTCTGATGGTGTCGGGGTGCAGTAGTGGCTGTGGAATTGGCAGCTTGCACATCATGAATGGCATCATCAGTGCTGCAAAGTAAATACAGGGTCTAGAGCAACATACGCTTCACTGAGATGACCTCTTTTTCAGGGAAGACCTTGGATATTTCAGCAAGACGATGCTAAATCACATACTGGATCTATTGTAAGCACTGGTTCTGTAGTAGAAGAGTCTGGGTGCTGAACTAGCCTGCCTGCAATCCAGACCTTTCACCAAAACATCATAAAGCAAAAATATGACAAAGACAACCCAAGACTGTTGAGCAGCTATAATCATTTATCAGACTAAAATGGGACAACATTCCTCCCCCAAAAGTCCAGCAGCTGCTCTTCTCAGCTCCCAGATGTTTACAGCTGTAAACACAGCACTTCCTCATCTTTTGTGAAACATGTTGCCATCAAATTCAAACTGACCTGAGTGTGGACCTTAGTGGTACATTTTCTTAGTTTAAACATTAAATGTTTTATGATAAATACAATATAGGTTTATGAAATTGCAATCATTGCATTCTGTTTTTAATGTACATGTCGCACGGTATCCCAATACTTTCAGGTTTGAGTTTGTACGTCTAGTGTATAAACCTGCTTTATATTCAGAGGTGCATGCAGACTTTTCTTCCTCCTCAAAACATGGTACTTTGGACTTTTAACCTTTCAATTTTACATTCTGAAGATGTCCAGTCTACTCATACGAAAGCTTACAAATGAGTTCTGTAGAACCGCAAGGTGAGGGAGATGGAGTACAAGAATTTCAGGACAAATGCAGTCTTGTCTGGCTAAGAGAACAGTGGCTCAGTTCTGGTTAAGCCAAGTAGTAAGAGAGCGGGAACAGGGAAAAGAAAGGGAGAGAAAGCTCCCGGACATGCCGGCACCATCATCATAAATTAGGCCTCAGAGGAGGACTAAGTCTCTATACTATCACAAGCACTGAAAATACTGTTTATTTTCAGGGGCTGTGTTGGTAACGGGTATATTAGACATACATATCGATTGCTATAACAGCTCCTCACTGCTAGTTGAGGAGTAGAGTGTCTAGACACCAGCAGTTCAGCTCGTTACAAGTTGGTATCTTGTTCCCTTGATGCCGTTAATCAGCGCTCACTGGCCCAGCAGTTATTCCACTCTCCCACTTTCAAAGAGAATTAAATTTCCTGCCCTGGATTTCAAAGCTTTACTTAAGTAGTAGCCTCCTTTACTTCATTTTCACTAGACATAATCTATAATTCAAACATGTTAGGCCTACTAAAGGCACCACAAGCTTGTCATAGGGAATTTGTTAAAACGTCTTACTTAAAGTTCTCCAATACAGTGAAGACCTCTGATGTGTTAAATTGCTGGAAAGTGGAGGAGGGAGTTATCATGGCTTAAGAAAATTGCTGTAGATGTCATGTTAGAGGACGCCCTTCAACTGGATTGTGAACAGCACTGCCATCTTGTGACCTTTTTAAGGAATTGCAAGAAAGCAGGATTGGAAAGGATTTGGGATTTTTTTGTGAATTTAGTCTCAGCGATTTGCTCTTTCTCTCTTTGCAGTTGAGAACATTGCACACTGTGAGTTTGCTTATCTCCGAGATCTCCTAATCAGGTGAGCATCCATCACACTTCTACATTTATTTTAATGTTTTTGTTTTTTAGGGGTATAGTGTGATTTGAATAAAAACCCAGCTACAGGTTCACCATTTTGCTAAATCAGAGCTCACTCTGTCTTTTAGATGTGCTGAAATGAATTGGAGACAGGAGTGATTCTATAAAGCTTCAATTTCCGACTGAAATCAATACCAATGAAATTCCTTTTGATGTTTTGAGTGCTTCCCTAGACAGTGGTAGAGCAGGCATTTCTACTCAGGTTCTTCCAATGAATCTGTGCATTTAAGTTTGTTAGTGTAGGACTGACTCCTCGCACACAGTATGCAAATACATGCGATTGTTTCCACAACACATGACCATAAATATAGAGTGATACCTGTTGTAGGCATTTCCTGTTAAGCTTGCTTTGCGGTACGTTCTCATTAGATGTAATACTCTCTTCTTCGTCTTGTTTTCAGGACACACATGCAGAACATCAAAGACATCACATGCAGCATCCACTATGAGACGTATCGTGTTCGCCGGTTAAATGAATCCAACATCCTTTTCACCTCTAACCCGCCTGACCATCCTACTGTTCAGCCAAAGGCCAATGGCCAGCCCGAGGAGCAGCCCGCCACCCCGCAGCCAAACGGAGTCGCTGCTCAGCACGAAGCCTTGTCCCACGAGATGTAGAGGGTCTAATGTGGAGCCAAATTGCCAATTTATGATATCAGGACACAGCTTGGCACAAAGCGTACACTCTCTTGCATATATTCTGTTTACAAAAACAAGCCCAGATGTACACAAACACACACACACACACACACACACACACACACACGCATTCATGCTGTGAAGATCATTTTTATTACCAAGAAGGACTACCTAACTACATCTTTTAATTTATCAGGAAGTTACAAGAAACAGAGCGGAGAGTAAATTCCTACATTTTTCCATCCATGGAGCTGTTTTCTCATCTTTTTACATCATTACAGTTGAAAGCAAAATCACATCCTCGCTGTGGGCCACAATATCATACAGTGATCTATTTCTTTCTTACTTTCTTTTAGTTCGTTTTCCCGTCATGATAACTGTCAAGTCCAATCTACATTCAGGATTGTTTACAGAAATCCACAGAAGTCATCCACACACACAGATAATCGAAATTATGGGTCGACAGAAGTGTTGGCGAGCCAAGGCTGCAGGAGAAATGTCATGTTGCAGAGTACAGTAGAGCTTTTGAGATGACAGTAGATTAGCTCTAAACTACACCTAACTTAGTGCCACTGACCCAGTAAGACTTGTGTTGTGGTGTATAGTATTGTATAGTCGCTAGGGTTAAGTAGGGATATGTAGATTAGGCTTATAGTGTTACAGAGAAAGTAAAGATATTGTTGACACCTCCGCATTGTAGAATTAAACAGACAAGCGGTAGCAGTGTGGAGTAGCTTTTGGAAACAACGAGTCTTGTAATTTTCCAGTGTTTTTAGGATGTTTTTTAAAACCCTCCCCCCTTTTTTTTTTTTGCCAAACAATATTGTCTCTTTCCATATAATGCCAATGTTGTGTAATACAGTCATTTTGCATTGCTCTTGTACTGTTGTATTTTAATTGCTAATGTTCTAATTTTATTGTGTAAGATGGGGGTGCAACTGTTATCCCATGCAGCCGTTTTGTCCTTTTTTTCTGACCAAATAAAAGTCCATTTTCTTTTCTAAAGAGAAGCACATACAGTATACAGTATAGATCTGATTTTATCAATAGGTATTTATGTGTGCGTTTAATGTAATCACTTTAATTCATCGTTGATTCCAGCTGTTGGCTTCCGGTTTGTTGCAGGTCTTAACCAGTGATGATAATTTAGATTTAGAATATGTTTGGGTTTTTTGTATCATGCAGTATTTTGTACGCTGTTTGTGAGACTTTACCGTACCTGGCAACCAGTAACTTTCCAAGAATTGATCATTTTGTACATTGAATTTTATTATTTACAATCAGTCATGCCAACAAATAATGGGAAGACGGTGACTTTTACATTGCAAGCTTACATCATTTCATCAGAGGCAGATGTTCTGCCACAACGGCGAGGGACAATTTGTACCTAAAAGCCTGAAATGATACCTCTAAATGTTGCCTGTCATATCATATGATATACATCACGTGATTATATTCTTTGGGGGGGGGAAAGTATTTTTAAAAGCTCATGGGATATTTTATAGAGACTACATCTAAATGTACCATTCTAATTTCCAAAAGAGAGTCAACAGTATAATTGAAGTTAAAGATATTTTCATTACTTAAGAGTAAAGAGAAGAAAAACAAAACTATTGTTTATCAAGAGAAAGTTATTGGGTTACACTGTTTACCGTTGTATAGTTCTTGTGTAATTTGTCATGGTATTATAGATCAAGGTTTATCTTTGATATGCTATCTCAAAGAATAAAGATTGATATTTTTATTGTTTAATAGTTGTTTATTTTTTTTCTCCAAAATGTACAAATGAAGAAGGGTAGAGGTCATTTTTTACTTTGCTTTTCAAAAATGAAATGAATGGCCCAGTCCTCACAGTGTTTACACTCCTCACAGCATGCTAGTATCTCATCACTTACCGCCTACGGTTAAAAGGATGATCATTTCAAAAATTCTAATTTCAGTTTACTCCTTTTTTCATATTTAAGACTACACCTCATATACCTGGTTTTTGAAGGCAGATCTTTTCCCCCCCCAATCAGTTAAATGAAAGTCAAACGTTAATCGAGCAAAACTTATTTTGGGTACAGCCGTTTAATTCAGTTCAGTTTTATTTATTTATATGGTGCATAATCCCCATTCATAATTATAGAAAGAAATCCCAACAATCAGGTGATCCTGTAAGAGCAAGAACTTGGCGACAGTGGGAAGGAAAAACTCCCATTTAGGAAGGCAGGAACAGACCTCCAGAGTCAGGGTGGGGCAGCAATCTGAAGCGATCGTTGAGTGAAGATGAAACACTCAGGGCATCATGAGAAGCCCCCAGCAGGCCTAATGGTGTGTAACGAAGTGAGGACTCGGGGTAATCCGATCGAGCCATAACTTTAAGCTTTATCAGAATTGAAAGTTTTGAGCCTAATCTTAAAAGTAGAGAGGGTGTCTTTCTCCTGAATCCAAACTGGGAACTGGTTCCACAGAAGAGGAGTCTGAAAGCTGCTTCTCATTTTACTTTTAAATCCCCTCAGGAAGCACAAGTAAGCCAGCAGTCTGAGAGCGAAGTGCTCTATTGGGGTGATACGGTACGATGAGATTTTTAGGATAAGATGGGGCCTCATAAGTCAAGTCCTAATATGTGAGCAGAAGGATTTTGAATTCAATTCTAAATTTAACAGGGAGCCAAGAGAAGAAGAGGAGAGACGCCAGTATAGGAGAAATATGCACTTTCTTTGTAATCCCTATCAATAATACCTTGTTAACTCAAGATCAACCAGGCTACTTTGAGCTGATAGAACCAAGGCAAGCAGTAGAGCATCTCTAAACCTTTGAAGCAGATGGGCTTCAGTAGCAGACCACCCTGGGTAACATTTCTGTCAGCTAAGAACTGGAAACTAAAGCTGCATTTCACATGGGCCCATGAAAATTGGACATAAGGAGATGGAAAAAGTTTGCTTGGTCTCATGAGTCTTGATTTCTGCTACGACACTGATGGTAGGGTCAGAATTTGACATAAGCAACATGAAAGCATGAATCCAGCCTATCTTGTATCAGTGGTTCGGGGTTGTGGTGGTGTAATGGTGTGGGAGGTATTTTCTTAGTACACTTTAGACCTTTAGGGCAAAATGATGAGCATTGTCTAAAGCCACGGCCTGAGTTTTGCTGCTAATCATTCCTTTGCAACCACAGTGTATCCATCTTTTGATGGCTGCTTCCAGCAGGATAACACACCACATCACAAAGCTCAAGCCATCTTAAACTGGTTTTGAACATGATAACGAGTTTCCAGCTTTGGGATGTGTTGGGACAAGAGATTTATATTATGGATGTGCAGCCAAATCTGCAGTAACCACGAGGTGATGTCACGTGACTATGAATCAAAATCTCTGAAGAATATTTCTGGCACCTTGTTGACCCTGCGGCAGTTCTGAATTCAGAGTTAAATATATCACTAACTATATCGGTGTACTGTTGTTACTGTTTTTCACTTATCAAACTGTGCAAAGCAAGAATAAAAAATTCAAAAAACTCAATTTAAATTGAAGAAATGACACCGAGTGTTGTTAATGAAGTAATCTCTAAATGACTAACTTTTTTCTGGTGGATATAAAGCACACCAGGTCGCACATATGCTTTCTGAGCCGAGTCAGTCATTGCGATGTTATGATAAAGGTACATTACTGACAAAAAGAAATAATTTCCTTTTCTGAGTGCAGTTCCTAATAGCCTTCAATCATGTAATATACTGACCATCAAGCACCGCATTCACAAAACAAATCCAACTGAGAGGAAATATGTCTTTGCAGTGGCATCACACCATGCCCACATAGCACCGGTTTAATAGGGCTTTTCATTTACACCTCCTTTCACACTTTCTCAACTATTCTGTCGATTGTAACGTGTTGACACCGTTGCTTGTCGAAGGTCATTGTCATCCTTTCACACGTTGCAGCTCCTGCTGGGGCTTTTGCAGCCGTCTCTTGTGTTAGATTCAGTCCTCGGTTTGAAAGTCCTCTTTGCCGAGGACGCCGCCGCTCTGGTGACAAATGACAAATGTGAAGGTGAGAGACAATGAAATTTGCAGAAAGATCAGTATCTACTGAAAACTCGCGTAACTTTGACACCTCTGTCTAAACAGTTTCCCTGGCAGCCACCCAGAGCCATGAAGGTGAGTGATAATGACATCTCTGACACTGCTATGACAGTGCCAGATTCACTGGCTAGCAGAGGCAGACCAATTTATTGGTGCATATAAACTGACATCTGTACTTTCTCACTGCTGCCGCTCGTCTCCTACAGTTAGCCGTTCCAATGGAAATCGTACATCAGAGCAATAAAGTGGGCAAGAGGTGGCCTTTCACAGACTGCCTAAAACTAAACTTTCAGAATCACTAAGCAGCAGTTACTAAGCAAGTGTAAAGCAGAGTGTTTACATTTAATGACACCAGAGCAGATTTGCTGTGAAGCCAAGCTGATTATTTTATGTCACAGAAATAGACTGTCTAAGCCAAAGATATAAACAACTTGGCAATGCCAAGTGCCTTGCTAGAAGCATCTGCACTTTAACAAGCTGATATGTTTCACCACATGGCCTTCATCAGGATTAAGAAACCAGCATGAAAACATAACACACAGAGCAATATATGTTAATGGAAAGGAACCAATCATTTCACTGTGCTGATGATACTTTAGGATATATACATTCAATTTTGGGATATTTTTATGAGATATATCTTACATATTCTGTGTGCCTATAATAAATATTATGAAATCAAAGTAGGTTTTTATCACTGTTTTGTGTTTTGATCTCAAATTCACCAGCATAAACAAGCAAAATAAGGCCTGTCTCTGCTCTTTTGGGAGTGGAAATTATCAATATCCAATGAGGTCCATGATACATATTTTATATTGTATAGTGCAAACACATTACCAAAGTGCTGCTGCTGCACACAGCTGTTTTTCTCCTTTGTGGCTATTGATAGGTGCAGTTCTCCAGCAATGTTTGTGTGACAGCCTTGGAGACAGGAGGACAGCTGCCCTCCTCTCCCACTGCATTACTGCAGGAGTGCCGCTAGCAGGCAAAACCCAACGTTAGCACGGTTAGCAGTTGGCACTAATGACAAGAGAAACTGAATGTTGCTAATGCAGTTTGGTGCAGGTGGATTAAAACTTTTGCCAACTTCTTTTCAAAATATGAGTAAGATGACGAAAACATGGTGTTAATAATGACCGAAACACTGTTGTGGCCTGGTTGGTTCGGAGGTTGAGAGGAAGAGTGGCAGGATGTGGGAGGAGAGGGAGGAATTTCATCTGAAGTCTTGTCACTGAAAAAAAGAAAAAAGGGAGTTTCTGCATCAGGTATGTTTTTATTTATTTCTCTTTTCCATCTTAAGTTTTGCCAACCATCTAATTTATACATTTGCGCCATTGTATGTGCAACAGACATAAATAAAAGTAGACTTCTGCTGTACTGTTTGTGATTAGACTATTTCATACACTGATATAAGGATCATTTGAACCAAAATACATAAGCTTTGTACAAAACAGAAATATATATATTTATCTGTGTCATTTCAATTATGCTAACTGGCTGCACGAGGGTTATCCAGCGACCTAGCTTTGTGAAATGCTGTGCCTGCCTAGGGTCTGAAATTAGGTAGTAGCAAATGTTGTTGTTATGAGAGTCACTTTTCTTATGCGTGGTCCTGGTAAAAATAAAGAATAAAACTAAACTGAGAGATTAGTGAATGGATAGGTAAGTCAACTCACTTTTCCACATCCAGTTTACAAGGTTGTTTTGTTTTTGTTTCTGTATCCGTGGGGAATTTTTAAAACCTGACTTTGCTCTACTTATTGTACTATTATATAAAATGCTTAGCTGAGGATATCCTTATTGCTCACTGTTACTTGCCGGTCTGCATTTCTCATTTAATGTAATGTCTGTTTTAGTAGAAATGTATATTATGATTTTGAATAAGTATTGGTAAATGGACTGATTCTGCTTTTCTACTCTCCTGGAGTATTCAAAGTGCTCTATACAACATGCCACATTCATCCAATCACACAAGTACTGTTTCTACCTAACATGTAGACTGGAGCCAGGGATCGAACCACTAACCTTACGATCAGTAGATGACCTGCTCTACCTTCTGAGCTACAGCCACCCCATAACTGCAATATACTAACCATATTTACTGAATCTATACTGAAATGTATAGATTCTGGACTGCCATGATTCCTTCATCTGTTCGTTTGTTATCTGGTGTCTGGAGCTTTCCACAGTCTTTACTGAATGGCAGCTCAGGATGTTTCTGATCATCTGAACAAACAAAGCTCATTGCTGGCACTGATTGCTGGAAACGTCCTGCTCAGCACTTCAGAAAGACTTCTGACTCATCATCATCATCATCATCATCACCGCCATCGCTCATCACAGGCTTTGTTTCCTAACAAATAAGTCACAAGAACAGCAGAGACAGCCCCTGGGGCTGCTTTATGTTTCTGAGTATTTTCCGCGGATAGCTGATGCAACACATATTGAGTTACATTGTGTTTTTGCAGACAACCAATGCTCAGTTCAGGCAACGAGCCAACGTGTAGTGTCACATTGTAAAGCTGTGGGAGGCCTGAATTAATTAGGCTTTCGACAACACTAGCTACACGGCATCGTTTGAAGCTATGTAAGATCAACCAAAGCAGATCTGATGTGTGTTTAAATTTGACAGCAAGTGATGGTGAAATATGTTTTCCTGCTTTCTC